TCTGGAATCAGATAGCTCTTTCTGAATATTAAAATATAAAGCTCAGTGGTAGAAATAACAGTTCTGTGTAAAAAAGAAAAATGAGCACAGGGAATTAGGAGAATCAAGTCATTGGTTTTATTAATGTAAGAAGTAGCTCAGGATTTAACTCTGTGGATTCAAGTAGTGGCTTTGAAAAATATGAGTGCTGCCCTGGAAATTTTCCAAAGCCTGCCCCTCCCCCCCCCCCTCTCTCTCTCTCTCTCTCTCTCTCTCTCTCTCTCTCTTCTTATCTTTTCTTTTTCTTTTCTTTTTGGGTTTTTAGAGACAGGGTTTCTCTGTGGCTTTGGAGCCTCTGCTGGAACAAGCTCTTGTAGTCCAGGCTGGCCTCAAACTTGCAGAGATCTACCTGCCTCTGTCTCCCAAGTGCTGGGATTAAAGGCATATGCCACCAACACCTAGTTTCCAAAGCCTCTTTTAAGATTTAAAATTCTATGACCATTCTATTTAAACAGCCTTATAATGGAATTTGGAATTTATTTAATTTATGTATTTCTGTGTTTGCCCACATGAGTTTGTGTACTATGTATGTAAGAAACCATAGAGGCCAGAAAAGGGTATCAGATCCCCTAGAACTAGAGGTACAGGGGATTATGGAGCTGTCCTATGGGTCCTGGAAACCAAATCCAGGCCCTTTGCTGTTGTAGGAGGCTACTAGTTTGTTCCCAACTGCTCAGCAGCAAAATAATCAAACAGAAACCATATTAACTGGAATACTGTTTGACCAATAGCTTAAGTGAATCTCTGGCTAACTCATCTTAATTTAACCCATCTCCATTAATCCATGTATACTACAAGGCTGTGGTTTACAAGGGTAAAATTCCAGCTTCTGTCTTTGGTGGGGTTACATGTGTTCTCACTGACTCCACCTTCTTTCTGCCAGTATTCAGTTTAGTTTCCCCCGCCTAACTCTGTTCTGCCCTGCTCTGCTATAGGCTCAAAGGAGTTTCTTTATTAACCAAAGGTATTCACAGCATACAGAGAGGAATCCCACATTACCTTCCCTTTCTGTTTAAATAAAAAGGAAGGTCTTAACATAGTAAAATTACATATAACAAAGCAGGTATCAAGTAAGAATTATGTTTACAATATTTATATCTACTTTATCTTTTATCATAGCTAAGGAAAACTATAACTACATATTCTTCAACTCCATTAAAGACTCCAGAATGATATAATATTACCTAAGTAACAGGAAATGCATGATAACAGCTTCCAAAACTCTAGAATTGACAGAGACATCTTGCTGCCAGGACAGTTACCCAAAGTTCTTCTGCATCATTGGGGCATCCATCTTCAGCCTACAGGGCCACAGTATCCAACAGACTTTCCCATGAAGCAGGACATTTCAAAGACGGTTGTACCTATATTGGCAGATTGTCAGTCACTTTCTTCTGTGTCTTGCAGAATGTCTGGCAGTCTTTTTCAGAGAGCAAGAACCCTGAAGTAATGTCTCACCTTTAAGCAAGTTCAGCAATTATTTCTCTGTGGGCCTTGAATGTCCAGTTTATACAGCAGAACATAAAGCAGCCCAGGCAAGAGCAGTTTCTTGCCCAAATGGCTAGTAAACCAATGCCCATCTTCCTCTTGATATAACTGGTACTGCCAGGAGCAGATGTGTCTCACTGTCATGAAAAGTCCTAAGTTCTTAAAACATTTTAAATGTCATATTCTGAAAGTCTCTGAAAGGTTTGAAGACTATCTGACGGAAATATATTTCTATGTATCTAGAAAACCTAACTAACATGATTGACTAATATAGAAGATTATCTATTAACCTATATTTCTTAATTACACATTACATATTTAAATGAGTTGCAGAAACACAATGCTTTAATCAAGAGCAGAAATACATATATAACACAACTGACCTTAAATTTCTATCAATAAACCAAGATCCACATCAATGCATATTATTCATCTCTATAGAATATCCCCCTTTAGCCAGGCAGTGGTGGCGCACGCCTTTAATCCCAGCACTCGGAAGGCAGAGGCAGGCGGATCTCTGTAAGTTCGAGGCCAGCCTGGTCTACAAGAGCTAGTTCCAGGACAGGAACCAAAAAGCTATGGAGAAACTCTGTCTCAAAAGTCAAAAAAAAAAAAAAAGAATATCCCCCTTTAAATGTAAACAAACATTTATAAACAATATATGGGAATACAAGCATAGTTCTCTCCAAACTCCTTCCTGCTTTTTGTTGGGCGAAGTAATTTTTTGGGGTGTTTACAATGACCTTACAAGGGGTCTTGGTCCATCAAACCACATTAGTCTGGAAGGATTCCATAGGTTCTCATCCTTTGTGGAAATAAAAGAACTTGTTTTCCAAAGCAACATATCCTTAGACGCGAATTTGGAAGTCAAGGAACCTTTAGACCATATATGTTGGTTTACCTTAGCAGCCCATAAGCTAATGAAATGTCTCTCTACTTAGCTCATTTACAATCAAAAAATTCAAAGAAAACACAATAATATACATAATCCAGATTCTCAGTGTATATTCTATCTTTACATGGCTTATTTTTCTTTATTCCTATTACTTTTTCTACAAGTTAACTCTGTATATAAACACATTATTTTTTAAAAACCATTTATTTCTTTTTATAACTTTTTATAACTCTCTGTATTCTTTTACTTCTCACTCCCAAGCCTACGTACATTTATCCAACATCGTGACCCATTTAGAAGTATTTCCCATCTGGATTTGTCTTTATTGCATATCTGTAATTATATTCTGACTAAAAGTGCTTCTTAAAATGCTAAGTGTCTTGAATAAGACTAAGGCTGCTTTTCCTTTTGGTGCCACCCAGTCCAATATGGCAGGGCCAAGGTCTGTTTAGCATGAGCAGTGCTCACAGCCCCAGTTTTCAGGCACACAGCAGGTCTATGTTGCCATTAAGCAAGTTGGAGCAGTCTGCTCACCCCCACCATTTAAATGCTCCATAGCCATACCTCTCAAAAGAGCCAGAGTTATGTTGACAGCAGCAAGGAAGCCGCTGTTTCAAAACCATGAAGCTTTTTTTCTGCTACCACTGAATCAGGAAAACCTCCTTTTTTTTTTTTTGAGTACTGACATGTTTTATTTTTCCCTCCTTTTTTCAATTTGTCAGGAGATCCTGTCTTTTTCTACTTTCTATTTCTCATGTAGATTAGATCTATGTGAGTCTCTCTTAGTGTTCTCATTGTTACCTAAGTTCTCTGGGATTGTGGTTTGTAGGCTGATTTTCTTTGCTTTATGTTTAAAAACTATCTATGAGTGACTACATGTGATAATTGTCTATCTGTAGGAAGGAGCCACGGTGTTAAGCTGTGCTTAAATCTGCGTGTGTGTGTGTGTGTGTGTGTGTGTGTGTGTGTGTGCGTGCATGCACCTAGAATTCCTTCCCAAACTCTCTCAGATTTTAAGTGGGTTTTAGTTGGTCACATTAGTGCACCAATTTGTTGTAGGAGGCCACTAGTTTGTTCCCAGCTGCTCAGCCACAAAATAATCATACAGAAACCATATCATTTGCAATACTGTTGGGCCAATAGCTTAAGCATATTCCTGGCTAACTCATATCTTAATTTAACCCATCTCCATTAATCCGTGTATCGCCCCAAGGCTGTGGCTTACAGGGTAAAATTCCAGCGTCTATCTCTGGAGGGGCTACATGTCTTCTCACTGACTCCACCTTCTTTCTGCCAACATTCAGTTTACTTTTCCCCACCTAGCTCTCTTCTGCCCTGATCTGCTATATGCACAAAGCAGTTTCTTTATTAAAAATGGTATTCATAGCATACAGAGGGGAATCGCACATCACTCTACAAGAGACGTAAGCTATCAGAGTCATCTCTCCAGAAACCATAAATAAAATAGTAAAACACTTATTCAGAAAACTCTGTCTTCAAACTACAAATTTTCTAAATAGTAAAAGTATTTCTTTCAAAATACATTTCTCTTGACCAGAAATGATAGCATACACCTGTATCTCAATACTGGGAGGATGAGGACTTGAGTATAAGCCCAGCATGGGCTACATAACCAATGCTTCACGTTGAACAGAGAAAGAAAAAACAACAAACCAACAAAACAAAACAAAACAAAGACCCAGAACTCCATTACATTGATAAAAAAAAAAAAAACAGCATATTTTTGTTAAGTCTTTCATAGTCTAGTCACATAAAATTACAAAGAATGCAGCTAGGCCCATAATACGTTTATTTCTTTAGTGCAGTTTATAATACTTAATTGTCAAAGTAAGCATCTCTATGAGTCACCAGATCTTATCCTGTATTTCTCTGACCTGATGTTTCTAACTAGAAGAACCAGGACTGGGAGAAAGAAAAAGTAGGTAAGAACCTAAGGAGCTTAAGACTGAGGATTTACACAGTTCTGAAATGGAATATCTCATGTAAGAAGGGTCTTCATAAAATATTCTTACTTTGAAAATTTTCCACTAACAAACTAAGACTTTTGTTAGAATATCCATGAATATCACAAAACAACCCCAATTACATCTTAGTAAACTTACATACACCTAAAGTAGTAGTTCTCAACCTTTCCAATGTTGCAACCTTTAATACAGTTCCACATGATGTAGTGAAACCCAACTATAATATTTTCATTGCTACTACATAACGGTAACTTTGCCATTGTTATGAATCTTAATGTAAATACTTTTGGAGGTTTGTTAAAGGAGCTGTGACCCACAGGTTGACAACTGCTGATCTCAAAGATTTTTCGCTTTAGATCAAGAGGCCTGAGACACATTAAAACCAGTACTACACTTTACACGTTGACTTATAACTATAAATATCTAAAAGGAATAGACTCAGATACCTTTAAACAACAAGAAAAGCAAAATAGGAAAAGGAATTAAGTCTAATTTTTCAATTAAAAATGTTAAACTCATTAAATCAGAAAGGGCTTTATATAAGGAACACAGAGAAAAACTACAAGGAAATAAAAGGCAACTGCTTGACTTACTGGGTTATCTGTGGAATCATCAGCCAACTGTAAACCAAAATAGTCTCGCTCAGTCAAATCAAGATGCTTGAAGACTATATCCAACAGAACTTGCCCCTGATCATGTTTCTGGAAGAAAAATAATACAAAACCATCTTTATAGTGTGTTTATGCTTTTTTTTTCTCCCTTTTCGAGACAAGTCTCACTAAGTAGCCCTGGCTGGCCTTGAATTCACAAAGATTCACCTGCCTCTGCCTCCCAAGAACTAGGATTAAAGGTGTGCACTGTATGTTTTTAACCTTGCATAACTTTTTGTCCTTTTTTTACTACAATGGCCATTTTTTTTTCACTAATGACTTTGTGGAGAATAAAGTTTGACATGTGAATAGTTTTTAAGGAAAACCGGTTATAGAGGAAAATAATAAATATGAAGATAAGAAACTTTTGATTGAAAATGTCTCCTGTAGGCTATTATCATGGTATTTTTGCTATTATATAGCTACTACAATAACTTATGTATGTGTGTGTGTGTATATATATATATGTGTGTGTGTGTGTGTGTACATGCATACAAGTCTATGCTATCTCTCTATGCCTTTTATTTTTATACTATATGAGTAGAAAAGTGACTACAGTTTAAAATACAGCTTTGTATAGAAGTCACAAAAGCAGCAGATGGAAAAACTTTGAAGGAAATTTGAGAAAGGCCTTTGATTTGACAGAACAAAACATTACAATTACATACAGAATTTTAGAAAATATCTAACTTTAACCTTAGCAAATCAGTAATGTAGACATTATTATTCCCATGTTGCAAAGCTACTAAATATGGTACAGAAGAAATGATTGAATAATTTATACTAAGTAATAAGCAAAAATAGATAAAAACAGAAATTAACAAGTTTATCAATAATAATAGAAATTAAAATGAGAAGTCACAATGACATGCCATGAGTAGATAACAAAAAATAAAGTGAATAAGATAAAAATACTTATTTACCTATAGAACTACGAAATGATACAATTTGTAGGGAAAAAATTAGAAAATTGTGTGTGCATGTGGAAGCACCCATCTGAGTGTGTATGTGGAAACATCCATGTATGCATACAGAAATAACAATCTGTGTGTGTGTGTGTGTGTGTGTGTGCGCGCGCGCGTGTGCATGTGGATGGACCTATTTGGTTGTATGCATGCAGAATCACCCACCTGTATGTGTGTGCACGCGCATGTGGGAGCATCCTTTTGTGTGAGAGCATACAGAAGTAACCATCTGGGTGTGTGTGTATGGAATCATACATCTGGGTGTGTGCATATGGAAAATCAGAGGTTGATGTCAGCTATCTCCCGTTGTATTCAATATCTTTTTAATAATTTTACATTATTTTTACACTTATCTATGTGTGTCTACACAAGTGCACATGTACATGCAGAAGCACACATGTGGGGGTAAGAATTGAAATTTCAGGAGTTAGTTCTCTCCTTTCACCATGTGAGTTGCAGTGACTAAACTCAAGTGGTCAAAACTGTCAACCTGTACCTGCTGAGCCATCTCGCTTGCCCCGCTCTAATTTTTGAGTCAGAATCCATCACAGAACCCAGAGTTCATTATTTAGGACAGGCCTGGATGGCCACAATCCTAGATCCCTAGGATCCTCCAGTCTCCATACCCCAGCATGGAGTTACAGACAGGTGAGGTTATGCTAGCTTTTAATCTGAGTACTGAGGATCTAATTTCAGGCTCTTGCATACTTTCCATACATGCACACTTTACTTCCAAGAGCCATCTCCCCAGGATAAATTTCTAAGTATTAAGTAAAAACAGTAACTGTATCAACTATTTCAGGTATACCGGAACAGCTAAACAAAATCTAATATTGAAAGAAATAGCTTAAACACATCAGTGTGTTCACTAGAAAACATAGCATGGTATATTTTACTATTATTTCTTCTCATTGGCTATAGTAGTCAGAAAGATTCTAAATAAAGTTAGAAGCAATCACAGAGCAGAAAGGACTTTTTTTTTCATAACATAAAGAATAAAGGTAGAACAGATTCCAGAGCTAAATAAATCAGCCAATGAGAGGCAATCAAGAACTGAGTTCCCTCCCTTTTGCCTCACCTGCATTCCAGGGCTGGCTATATTCGTGGGCTTTTTAACAACTTTATCAGCAACTCCAAGATCCATACCCATACATGACAGCATTCAAGATAACAAACGTATTTCTAAAGTTACTGCACAAAAAGACTATACATCATGTTTTACTGGTCAAAACTGCATCAATATTGACAACCAATGGAAGAAAGTATGTGTTTCAAATGGCACTACTCAATATTGGTGCCCATTTAGTTACTTGTATTAAAACAAAATTAAATACTGATGGAGGTGGGTCTTGTATCTTATCTGTTGCTTTCATTGGTTAATTAATAAAGAAACTGCATGGCCCTCTGATAGGGTAGAATTTAGATAGGCGGTGTAAACAGAACAGAATGCTGGGAGAAAGAAGCCGAGTCAGGGAGTCGCCATGATTCTCCCACCCAACACAGACAGGTTAATATCTTCCCTGGTAAGCCACACCTCGTGGGCTACACAGATTATTAGAAATGGGTTAGATCAATATGTAAGAGCTAGCCAATAAGAGGCTGGAACTAATGGGCCAGGCAGTGTTTAAAAGAATACAGTTTCCATGTAATTATTAGGGGCATAAGCTAGCTGTGCGGGAGCTGGGCGGCAGAACGCAGACCCGCAGCTCCTTCAACAAAATACTGCTGCAATATCCATTCCCCTCTTCCCATTCTGATTAGCTGGTCTAGGGAAAAGACTAAGCATTACTTTTTAAAGCTACTACAGAGAATCTAACACACTCTTCTCTTCTGAACAAGATGAAGTAGTGTCATTTCTTTGCTATACCTCCAGCTGAAATGTAAATAATGAACTAATTAAAACATAAAATTTTTAAATTTTGAAACAAAAGCTATCATAAGGCTTTGTGCAATGAAATGGAGATGCTAAGAATAAAAACAAAAAGGGACTGGAAAGATGGCTTAGTGCACTTGTTGCTTTTGTAGGGGACCTGAGTTCAGTTTCTAACACTCACATGGTAGGTAGCTCATACCCATCCATAAATCTAGATCCAGGGAATCTGAAACCCTCTTCTGCTCTCTATGGGCACCAGGTGTACACATGCTACACAGACGAACATGCAGCAAAACAAATACATATAAAACAAAAAGTAAATAATAAATCTAAAAATATAAAGAATAAAGACAACAAGTTCAACTAGGAGATGACTGTAGTAATAGTAATACATGACCTAAACTAGAGCATGTAAGATGACAAAGAGAAATGACCTATTCCAAAACAACACATTTGCAAAAAGGTTGTTCGGGAATATTATTTTAAGGTGTGTTACTTTTGTTTATGCTATGGAACAAATGTTTAATGATGTAAAATGTGTTGCTTTTGTTTATTCTGCATTTATTTAACTCTGTGAAGCTGTGATTCTTTGCCTTTAAACCATCTAAAACACCTGATGGTTTAATTGCTTAATGGCTAATAGCGAGGCACGAAGAAGGACAGGCAGGACTGGCAGTCAGAGAATATAAAAAGAGGGAAAAATGAGGAAAGGAGGGAGCAAGATAGAAGAAGGAGAGGAAGACATCAGGAGCCAGCACCCAGCTACACAACAAGCCACTGAAAAAGTAGTAAAAAAAGGTATATAGAAACTAGGAAAGATAAAGGCCCAGAGGCAATAAAGAGGGGATAATTTAAGAAAAGCTGGCAGGAACAGGCCAAGCTAAGGCTGGACATTCCTAACTAAGAATAAGCCTCCATGTGTGATTTATCTGGGAATCAGGTGCTGGTTCCCCCAAAAGATCAAAGACCAAAGAGTAAAAAGCCAAAAGAGTAAAAACAATGCAATACAAATATGACTTGTTGCAGGAACTCCTTCCGCTCCTTCAGCTAATAGCCGCTGAGAAACCAGCCCATTGGGGTGTGGCCTCTCTCCCTTTAAAAAAGCAGCCACTTAAGATCAACTCCAAAAAATCAGTTGCCTTCCTTTACACTAAGGACAAGGAAGCAGAGAGGCAAATCAGAGAAGCATCACCTTTCACGATAGCCACAAATAGCATAAAATATCTTGGGGTAACTCTGACCAAGGAAGCGAAAGATCTATTTGACAAGAACTTTAAGTCTTTGAAGAAAGAAATTGAAGACGACACCAGAAAATGGAAGGATCTCCCTTGCTCTTGGATTGGGAGGATCAACATAGTAAAAATGGCAATTCTACCAAAAGCAATCTATAGATTCAATGCAATCCCCATCAAAATCCCATCAAAATTCTTCACAGACCTGGAGAAGACAATAATCAACCTCATATGGAAAAACAAAAAACCCAGGATAGCTAAAACAATCCTGTACAATAAAGGATTGTCTGGAGGCATTACCATCCCTGACTTCAAAATCTATTAAAGAGCTACAGTACTGAAAACAACTTGATATTGGCATAAAAACAGAGAAGTCGACCAATGAAATCGAATAGAAGACCCTGACTTTAACCCACAAACCTATGAACACCTGATTTTCGATAAAGAAGCTAAAAATATACAATGGAAAAAAGAGAGCATCTTCAACAAAGTGTGCTGGCATAACTGGATGTCAATCTGTATGAGAATGAAAATAGATCCATATTTATCACCATGCACAAAACTCAAGTCCAAATGAATTAAAGGCCTCAATATCAGTCCGAGCACACTGAACCAGATAGAAGAGAAAGTGGGAAGTACTCTACAACACATGGGCACAGGAGATCGCTTCCTACATATAACCCCAGCAGCACAGGCATTAAGGGCAACATTGAATAAATGGGACCTACTGAAACTGAGAAGCTTCTGTAAAGCAAAGGACACTGTCACTAAGACAAAAAGGCAACCCACTGACTGGGAGAAGATCTTCAACCCTGCAACTGACAAAGGTCTGATTTCCAAAATATATAAAGAACTCAAGAAACTAGACTTTAAAAAACTAATCAACCCAATTATAAAATGGGGCACTGAGCTGAACAGAAAATTCTCAACAGAAGAAGTTCAAATGGCCAAAAGACACTTAAGGTCATGCTCAACTTCCTT